TACATTAGCAGCATAGAAATGTAATAAATTGAAGCAGGAGCAGGGCATCTGTCCATGGAGCTCATTCTATCATTCAACATGATCATGGCTGACCATTTAACTCACTTCTACGCCTTGTTACCTTTAGTTTCTAAAAATCTTTCTTAAATATATTCAGTGGTTTGACCTTGACATCCTATTTCGTAGTGAATTCCACAGGTTTACCGTCCTCTGAGTAGAGAACGTTTTCCTCATCTCAGTCCGAAATGGACTACCTCATATCCTCAGACCTTTCTAACAACCCCCTTCCCTCAGGCCAAGCAGGGAAAACACCATCCCTACATTTAGTCTGCAGAACTTTGTGCATTTCAAAGAGATAACTCCTCACTCTTCTAACCTCCAGTTCATAAAAGCCTAGTCAACCAAATCTGTCTTCTTATGATAGACCTGCCTCCACAGGAATCAGCCTGGTGAACCTTCGCTGCATTCTCTCTATGACAAGTATCTCTTCTCTTAGGTTAGGAGACCAAACTGCACACAATTCTCCAAGTAAGCTCTCAACAAGGCATTGTACAGCTGCAGTAAAAACATCCTTGCTCCTGAACTCAACCCTTCTTGCAGTGAAGTACATTTGCTTTTCTTTCTCTTTACTGCACCTGCGTGCTTGCTTTCAGTGACTGATATACAAGGTCATCCAGGTCCCCTTACACATCAACCTTTCCAAGTTCTGAGGAAAGGTCACTGGACCCGAAACGTTAAGTCTGTTTCTTGTCCTTCACAGATGCTGCCAGACCTGCTGAGCTTTTCCAGCAACTTTGGTTTTGTTTCCAAGTCTATCACCATTTAAATAATAATCTGCCATGCTGTTTTCCCTACTGATGTGAATAGCTTCACATGTATCCAGGTTATCATGCATTAGCCTACTCACTCAACTTGTCTAAATCACCTTGAAACCTCTTTATTTCCTCCTCACCACTCACCAAAGTCATCAGCAAACTTGGAAATGTTGCATTTGATTCCCTTATCTAAGCTGTTGATATATATTGTGAATAGCTGGAACTCACTTTAAATGAATTTATCTAGTCTGTTGCAGCCAACTCACCCCTCATACCCTCATAATTTCCTTTATTCAGATTTAGCGCCCTATCTTCAGATTACACTACTTCATTTTTATCCCAAAGAATAAATCAATCATGTTAAAGTACCTCTGAAAAAAATTATTTTTCCTACAGTGTGGAAACAGGCCATTCAGCCCATCGAGTTCACGCTGACCCTCCAAAGAGCATTCCACCCAGACCTAGCCCCCTACCCTATCTCTGTTACCCTGCATTTCCCATGGTTAAACCCCCTAGCCTGCACATCCCTGGACACTAAAGGCAATTTAGCATGGCCAATTCACCTAACCTGCACATGTTTGGACTATGGGAAGAAACCAGAGCACTCTGAGGAAACCCATGCAGACACAGAGAGAATGTGGAAACTGCACATGAACAGTTGCCTGAGGCTGGAATCAAACCCGGGTCTCTGTCGCTGTGAGGCAGCAGTGCTAACCGCTGAGCCACTCTGCCACCTTATATTTAATTTAATAGTCATTTAATTAATCTCTTCTCATTGCACAAAACCAAATGTAGGATAGGCTGTTCCCTTGTTGGTTCCTCAATGTCTTAATCTAAAACAAAACTTATGCATACTCCACCAATTAATTCACCATTGCATTATTCTAATGTAATTTGGCCAGTCTATATGTCGATTAAAGTCACCCATGACTACTGTAGCATGCTTGTTGCACGCATCTCTAATTTCCTATTCAAAGCCATCCTTTAACTTGCCTGTGTTTAGTGCCTTGCAGTCTGCTCACAGTATGTGTTCTTACATTTGTTCCTTCTTAGATCCACACAGATTGATTTCACGTTAAGATTTTCTGAGCCAATTACTTATCTCATCATTGCGCTGATTTTATATTTCACTGAAAGTTCCATCCACTTCCTTTTCGTTTTTATCTGTTTATTTCTAAAGTTTGAAGTTTCCAGTCTTGGTTCCCTACGAGCATATCTCCCTGATCACAATCAAATCAAACAATCATTTACAATCATTTGCACTGTTGATTCATTTGATTCATTTCACTTGAAGGGCCGAGTGGCCGACTGCTGCTCGTGTTATTTGTTCCTACTTTTTATCTACTTCATTGTGAGTGTGTCGTGTGTTCAGATACATAACCTTTAGTTCTTTTTTAGCCTTCATACCATTTTTTGTACTTTAGCCCTTCTTGCTACCAACCCTTGTTTCCTTTGCATTCCACTTTTGCTTTTTACTTTTCTATCTTTCATGTCCGTCTATATTTCCCTTATGTTGTCTCCCTGCTGAGGTTTCCTGCCACTCTAGTTTGGCATAGAAGACATAAATGAGCACAGATCCAAAACTAAAATGAGTTATAGCAGGCGAGTGACAGTCCCATCATCCTCCTGTGAATGTGATTAAAAAGAAAATACAGCCCTAGCCCTTGGAGCATGTGAATATTTCATGGAGTTCAGTAAGACCATTAGGAAGGAGTTCCTTTGTTAATATAATCTTAATGCGTATTACTCTCTCAATTCAGGTTGCAAAATTTATATTTTTTTGACTTTCATGATCAATAATTTTGGCTAAACTTGTGACCTAGCCACACAACAGTGAAATTACACATCATTATCCAATCCAAGTAACAACTGAAACTGGAAATTATGGCTAATTCAGTCCTCTGTTCATACGGCTTTGTGGCCATGTGCTTGATGACTCATAACATAAAATGTATGTTGTGCTGATTGATATCAGAAAAATACTTTTAAATGTGTAGTCCTGAGTGGTATTGAATAGAGACAAACTCTATGAATAATTACATATTTGCATTATTTTTGGAAGAAGTTTGAGTAATATAAATTCATCAATAAAAATATAAGGTGTGTGGCAGATGCAGAATTTTTTTCTAAAACAAATGGGATTTCTAATTTCTGCCATTACTTTTTAAAAACAGAATTAATGTTAAACTTGATAATTTAGCAAGAAGAGGAACTAAATTATTGTCATTTGGTTTTCAATTATCATGCTATTCATTTTGTTTACTTGCATTTTGGTTGTTTGATGACTATAATAAATGCTTTCTGAACATCTTGACTGCACATGAAGGTTGTGTCAACAAAAAAAAAGCAAAACTAAATCTCTTCCTGGCAGTCTATTGTTAGTGTCAGAAAACATGACATGTTGCAATTGTTGCCAATTTTTTTGTTTCTTTTGTGTAATTACAATTCTATCAGAAAGAGAGTTTTCTTTGTAAAAGTTAAAATTACTGTTATTGTCGTTGATGTGACAGGTGAACATTACTGAATAAACCACTAATATTGGGCTTTTTTAAAGGTGGTCACTATATAGAAATGGATATCTTTCAAAATGTTTAAACCAAAAGTCAGCTGCAATTGTGCAATCTACATAATTTATAACATGAAACTGAAGATAAATCTCACTAAATATTTAAATGGATCTTAAAACAAATCTATTACTCTTCACTAAAATAGCATAGTTTATCTTTGAAAATGACACTGATAAAAGACTGTATGCATTTCCTCACTACTCCTAGAAGCAATATCCTAATCAGTGACTGTTTATCTCTGTTGAATGAACCTAGATTTATGTTGACTTAGATTTTACTTTGAAATATTGTGTATAAATTTAGATAATCCCAAATTAAAGATATAATGAATACCAAAAAAGTCTAAGGTATAAATGACCCATAGGTCATGTAAAATTACTGCTCATTATTCTTAGGTAATACATCATTCTGATGAATTTGTGTCTCTCAACATACAATGCACAAACACTCAAGGTGCTGTAACTGAAATTCCAGTCTCTGCAAATTTAGTGAAAGTGTTTATCTTTTAAAAAAATTAACAGTGGAAACTCAGGACTTCCTATCACGTATAAAATACAGCAGGGTAGGAGTTTGAAGTAACGTTTTTGCCCATGTTCTTTTCGTATGACCCACTTAATGCATCCATTACCAAAACTTCACTGGGATTGTGATTTGATGGTTGGTTTGTGCTGAATAATGTGTAATTATGACCTGTGCATAAACAATACCTGGATTGAGATTAACCAAGCCAATTTAATGTAAGAATATTCTGCTAACAGTATCAAGCAATCTTTAATTCTGTTCATCTGGCTATCTTCATAAATATGTCCCATGTGCTGCCCATTCATGGATCTTTAGTAATTTAGAAATGAACACTAAGTGACCTGCTGCCTGTATAGAATCCTTACAGTATGGAACAGATCCTTCGGCCCAACAAGTCCACACTGATCCTTGGAGCCTCCCACCCAGACCCATCCCCCTATAACCCACCTAATCTACACATCCCTGAACACCATGGGCAATTTAGCCTGGCCAATCCACCTAGCCTGTACATCTTTGGACTGAGGGAGGAAACCAGAGCACCCAGAGGAAACCCACCCAGACACAGGGAGAACGTGCAAACTCCACACAGACAGTCGTCCAAGGCTGGAATTGAACCCGTGTCCCTGGTGCTGTGAGGCAGCAGTGCTAACCACTGTGCCACCATGTTGCCCTGTAGTCTCTATGTGAATGTTTTTGTTTCCAAATAATATTGTAAATTATATTCCCTACTAAAATCACAGAAACATGATTTTATACCATCAATGTTTCAGTAATTAACAGTAAAATGTAACATTTTCAACAGGATCCAACAGGAGCATTCAAATTAAAACATAATCAAAGAGCATGGTATTTTTTTAAAGACTATTTAACTCAGATTTGAGCTGTAGTGAAAAACTGAATAGATAATAGAAACAATCTAAGTTACATGAAAGTATTAATAAATGTGATTTAAATAAATGTGAAACCTAGACTTTACTTCTGCAATGATACTTTATATAAAATGGTTATTTTAATGCATGTTAAACTGTGAAGAACTTTTTTGTAACAGTTATAGATTTTGGCTTTTAAACACGAAACTATTTATTTCCATGAATAGGCAAAGAAAAAGAACCTTGTGAACAATCCTGTACTAAATCAGAAGGGAAGACTGAATCAGATGAGAATGGAGATGAGGTTTGCTTTCAATTATATTTTTGATGTACACATAAAATTAAATAACATTAAATATTTGAAACAGGTTGAACTGTTGCATTTTGTTGTTTACGGGAAGAAAGCATACTGCTTCTGTCGTGACTTCCAAACATCTACAGTGCTTTATGGCCAACAAAACACAATTGAAGTGTAGGCAATGTTATAATATAGGTAACACAGAAAACCAATTTGTATATTGCAGTACTCTTCAAACGGTGCACTGTAGCTTCTGTGTTCAGTATGGCTACAAAGATTCATTTGTAATAATGTTATAAATTTTCCTTGCACTTGTCTTGGAAGTATCATCATAATGGAGATACTCACATCTGAACACCAAGTAGGAGCTAAATGGGACTGACTGAATTAACCTGGAGAAAAAAAATGCTCTCAACTACTGTCTACAGTAATTTTCATGAGATGGTGATCTGCTTAAAGCATTCATGTTAGATTAGTGCCAGTGGGGAGGAGGTTGGGATGGTAGGGAAGGCAATGAGATGTAGACACTAGCAGAGGATAACTGCACTTTGTTCCCTTTGAAGCGGATGCTACCCACTGCTAAATATCTTTACAATTTATTGCTTCTGTCTTGAACTCTAGTACTCCATGTTTTTAATGAGTGTTTTGCTTTATTATACATCTCACAGTGTGAGAAGACCAGCACTTAACTGATTCATTTGCATAGCATATGCATCCTTACGTTCAGGGGTTCAAATGAAGAGTTGATGTTGGTCCTGAATTCAGTTTTAATCTGTTTAACTTAATATTTATCTAGCTAATAATACTGTGTTTCTGTCTTTCACAAATTAAAGAAGTGACTTTACAATGACAATGTAAAAACATTTAAATGAATTCAGCCATTTCTGTAGGTGGAAGATAACAATATCTTGTCTTTAAAAGATAGCACAATATAAAATTGTTACAGATTGGTCTGTTGGTGACAATTCAGAATATGTAAATGAAATAAAACTGACATTACAGCAGCTTTTCTTAAATTAAAGGTTTCACTCTCAAACTCAAATCCTGTTCTCCCGCATCAAAGAACATTGTTTTCTTCCAATCTACAAGTAACAATTATTATTTTAGTTCATGATATTCCTTTGTTTATTCCATCACCTTGAACCAACTTCACAGCACAACTATGATATTATAAAATGTAAATTGTTATCGTTGATGTAAGAGTTTTAGGAGAAAAAAAGCTCAATTGTAATTCTATTTTTCAAAATTTAGAAAACATCAAAGAAAGCAACTGGTGAGGAAGGAAAAGTACGTCACCAGACCAAGCCTGTGGCATCAACTCCTGTACCAGGTTCCCCTTGGTAGGTCCATATGTAACCAAATTTTGACGTTCAGTAATACCAGTTACCAATTCCTTTGAAATGTTGAAATGAATTCCTACCTTAACCACATTGATGTCAAAATTGCCAGTTTGTTTCCTTCATAGCAAATGAATACATGGTTCAAATTGCTTTATCTTTGAGTCAGTTACAGACATGCCGAAGTTTCTAAATTTCCTTGCTCAACATTTGGCATATATTTATAGAGCATATGATACTAATATTTATTAACATTTTATAATACAGTGGGATTGATGTAAAGTGATTTAACTTTGGCCACAAGGGAGGTTGGGGCAAAAGAAAAGATGTGTTTTTGCATTCACTATTAAACTGTAGCAAAAATTGTCTACGTGTCAATTTCGGAGAGTTTTGTGGAGGGATTCTCTCTGTCATCCCCCTAGCAAGCTTTCTCATGAAATTTTATCCTAGTCATCTCTTTATCTAAATCCTAACCCAATGCACCATGTCTCTAGGGCACACCAATTATCCTACTGTGTGGTTTGCCAACAGCAGAAGTATTCACCACTGCAGGGATCATCCTGGCTTTCCAGTGCTGGTGCCATCTTTAGAAGCCAGCTATGCACCAAGTGAAGCATTGCCAGCTAGATATCACACAGGTCCTCAGTGGATCCTCGGAAGCAGCCAGATGTGAAGAAATTTATGACAGCTGCTACCTTGATGACAACCAGTATAGGATGGTCACCCACCCCTTCAGGTCACTTGTTTCACTCCAGCAAATATCATAATTCTGTGACGATGTCCCAGGACATCGGCAGTCTGCAAAACACTGCACCTCAGTCATCTGAAGGAAGTAGCATCAAGGACAATAAACTGCACATTCCTGAGGAGACCATCTGATGTGCTCACTGTTTGGCATCTGCTGGACATTGCTGCTGGTCCTGGAGTTTTCATCCTTTGATTCTTCCTAAATTGCTCTGTGCCTTCACAGCAATGGAGCCACAGTGATGATCACCTTTGCTTGGCCTAGATCCAAATATGACGTTTCCAGTGAACATGTGTGCGAAGTATCAGAAACAGAACAGGGTCTTATTACTATCAGCAAGCAGCATTTGCTTCATGCACAAATGATAGTTTTGCATTGTCTCCCATAAAGTGAGGACAGGAAGTACTCTGGCAAGGAGAGACATGGAATGCTTTGACATGAACCTTTGACAGAGGACCTGATTCTAAAGTATTTCACTTTCCTGCCTTTTCCCCATAAGCCTTGATTTTCTGACTGTTTGAACATTTGTCTATCTCAGCCTCGAATATACTTAATGGCCCAGTCTCAAAAACCCTCCACAATTGAGAGTGTTTCCCCTCATAAGAGTTTAGAACTGGCTGATATAATCTGAGTAAACTGTCACTCATTTAAGGCAGAGTTGAGGACTAGTTTCTTCGCTGAGTGTAGTGAATCTGTTGTATTCTTTACTGCACAGGGTAGTTGAGGTTGGGTCATCAAGTGTATTCAAGGCTGAAATGGAAAGATTTTTAATCAGTAAGAGAATCAAGGGTTATGGGGAAAAGGGAGGGAAGTGGAATTGAGGATCACCAGATCAACACTCCAACTAAATGGCAGAGCAAACTTGATGGGCCGAATGGCCTGCTTATGCTTGTACATTTTATTGTCTTATGATAAGATGACTTTAAAACGTTATCTTAGAGCCAAGGTGTTACAAAATCTAGGAGGGGACTGCAGTTTAGGATTCTTTTTGCAGAACCCTGTAATGATTGGAGCAATGTCAGCCAGGTGGACCTCATAGAGTATGAGTTGCCTGAATGGGACAGTTAATCTGGTCCAATCAGGGAGCCGTGGCTGACACATATAAACATGAGTGTCAGAGGTTCTGCTCACTCTAGGGACCAGCTCTATGCTAGCTTGGCCAGCATCTTGTACTACATGCATGTAAATAAATGTTGACTTGGTGATGGGATACCGACCTTTGTGGAATTATTTCAAACCCCTTTAGTGTTACTACTGATCTGAAGGCCCTAGAAATGCACAGATGTGAATTCCTTGCAGTCCTGCACCCAATAATGCATTGCCATATAGACTTACTAAGATTACAATTGGTTGCTGAAGAAAGTCTGCTGGCGGAACACTTTTGTCAGTAATATTAGGAGAAGCATAGGTTTGTTATGACTGCAACCTTAACCTAACAGAGGAACATAGGGGATTGCAGTTACAAAAAGAAACCTATTGCATACGAAATATTGTTTGGATTAGTGTGCATTCTATTTCTTTTTTCAAGAAGTCAGCTACAGCTTAAATGGCTTTATTTGAATTGGTGCAGTCAATGACAGGTTACTACAACAATGTGAGGTATTTTATTTAAGACACCAACTTCACTGAAGCATTTAAGAAAATGGATAATAGAATTAAATGGATGTTACGAATATCACAAAGAAGAGTACTGGAAGTGCTTTTTTTGTCCTTTGATTATCACAAAGCAACATTTGTGTATTCTTTCTGCCAAAGAACTAAGTTTTTTTTTGCAGGTGATGCCTGAAGCTATCCTTAGAAACCACAAATCAAAGTCTGATAGCTTGAAAGGCCATTGGTCACAAAGGCCGACATAAATTGAATCTGTAGTTTCCAGTTATTGATCTGCAAAATTTCCCTTAAAGAAAGTAGAGCACAGTTTCAATATTAATTTATCAAAGTGAAATATGTCACAAGTAATTTTTGGAACCAGACCCTCACAAGCTCTACCTGCTCCCATCAGTGATTGTTGGAACATACTAGAATAGTGACATAAGTCTGTTGATTGTTAGGTGGCAGAACCAGCACCACCTCTTTATGAGGCAAATATTGTCCCAGAGGGTTAAATTCACAGATATGGACTCCTTATACTGGGAATTTCTGGCTGTGATTCCTGGTTATCTGGCTTACTTGTGTGATTCCCTTCTTTTTCTTCTTGATGTGTCTGCAGCCTTTGAAATGATTGGCCATCCTCTTCCAACACCTGTCCATGCTGTCCAGCTGGAGGGGACAGCTCCCGGTTTTTCATAACCAAGGAAAGACTTGCTATGCCTTTGCTCCCTGTTCCTGCCACTGTATCTCTCCTGTCCTCCAAGGACTTTTTCTCTAGCTTCCTCCTATTTCACATCTGCATGCTAGCCCTCCGTGACAAAGAATTTGCATCAGGTTCCAAACATATGAAGGGTCGAGGCCCGAAACGTCAGCCTCTCTGCTCCTATGATGCTGCTTGGCCTGCTGTGTTCATCCAGCCCTGCACCATATGTTAATGACACCCAGTTCTACCTCACCATCACCTGTCTCAACCCCTTCCCTGTCTTGTCAGACAGGGCTTCAGAATTAGATAAACAGAAATTGCCTCCAGCTAAATGCTTCAAAGAACAAAACCATTGGGTGAAATGTAGTGATTGTTAGGGGTGTTCCATTTACTGGCTAGAAAACCATGAGAATTTCATGTTGTTCATTTTTAGAAGCTGAACAGAATTTATAGCAATAAGGCATTTACCTGGGCAGCATTGGGCTTCACACTGAAATAAGCCCAAGGGAGGATGGAAATACTACCCCTGTGAGTCGAGAGTGGATCATAATTCAGCAGCCCCCCCCAATACCGGCAGGGCCAGCAAGAACAGTGGCCTCTATTCATACCTCAGTGGGACCTTCACCAGGAATCGGAAGGTTGAAGAGAGGTAAGTGATGGTGGGGGTGAAGGATAAATAATAGGAAAGGGGGTCCTATGAGGGCTGGGAGTGGATTTCATTAGAATTGGCAGGGTGTGCCTTCCTGTGGAGCTCCACTTACTACTGACGGTCCCTCAATTGTGTATAGATTGCCTGAGCACAAGGAACCTATCCAGTAAGCCGCGGCCAGACCTTATAGGATTTGCTGGATGTTTGCCTTGTGAAGAGCTGTTTTGCATGCTGAGTTCCCTGCTGGTTGAATCCCAGTGGATGATGGGATGGAACTGGACTGTCAAGGGGTTACATAAGGGTTTCAAGTAGAAGGCAGGCTCCCATCCTTCCTAACCACAGCTTTTTGGCCGCCTCACAATCTCCACCAAGCACTCTATGTCTAGATCAAACAGTATCCAACCCCACAACTTCCACAAAAAAAAGGAGCAATAAATTCCACCCCCTTGTCCTCACCATAAGCACTGTTCATTAGCCTCTGAGTCTGTCTCTCTCCCGGCCAGTTGTTGGAGGTTAAGCCATATTGTTAGCAATCTTCATACCGTATTTGATCTCAAGATAAACTTTTGACAGCATGACCTCCTAAATTCATCAACAGAACATCACCTGACTCCAATTCTGGTTTAGCCCAACTGATGCTGAACTTCCTTTGTAACCTCAAGATGATTCTAAAGCTCTCTCAGCAGGACCCTCATCTTCCAGTCTCCTACCAGTACCCTAACTTGCATCAAGTCCAATTTCCCATCACCTCTGCACTGCCCGACCTACATTGCCTCCCTGTTAAACAACACCTTGATTTCAAAATTCTCATCCTTGTTTTCTAATCCTGCCATGGCCTCACCTCTTCTTTGCAACTTTGTCCAGCCCCACAACACTCCGATACATTGGTTCTCTTCCAATTCTACATCCTTGATTTTAATCAGTCCACTATTGGGATGGGGCCTTCTGCCTAGGCCCTAAGCTGTGAAGTTTCCCCTAAACCGTTCCATTTCATTCCCACTCTTTCCTCCTTTCAAATATTCCTTACAATATTTTTCTAACCAAACATTTGATCACCTGTTCGAATATTTCACCACGTGACTCAGTGTCACGTTCTGTTTCATAGTGCTTCTCTGAGACACTTTGGTTGTTTTGATACGTGAAAGGGCCAAAAGTAATGCAAGTACTGTTGTCATTGTCATATCATTGAAGATTACCATGCTCAAGCTAGAGCCAGATACCGACATTCAAATAAGCAATAGACGGCCCACCTTGAGAAGGGCCCTTATCAGACAAAGAGCCTAGGACACTGAAGAGAGACACATTTTTGTGAAAAA